GAGAGAGAGAGAGAGAGAGAGAGAGAGAGAGAGAGAGAGAGAGAGAGAGAGAAGGGCAACTAGTCCTAATCAAATCATCCTTCCGTAGTAGCAGCCAAATGCCGGTCACCCATCCCACAGTAGTAACAGCCAAGTCTGAAACGGAACACTACCACATGCATGAACTTGACAAAGTGAAGGTAGAACTAGTGAAAGCACATTCACGAGAGTAGAAGAACAGCCGAGCGTGAAACGAAACACTACCACAGGCGTGAACTTGACAAGACGAGAGTGAAAGCACAATCACATGGGACGTTGAACAGCCAAGTATGAACCGGAACACTACCAAGAGAATGAACTTGACAAGATGGGTGTTACATCTTCGACACCACACGGGTCCTACCGGACCCGACTTAGGGCCAAGGGGACACAGTAGGGCCTAAAGGCCTAGACTTAGGGGTACAGCAGGCCGAAAGGCCGCATTTTGGACCAGACCCGACGGGCAGGCCCAAACGACATTACCGTTTGGGCCTGGCGGCGCTCTTGAGGCTGCCGCCCGCCGGTCTGATCTGAACCAACGATCTCGACGGTTCAGGTCACGGCCAGGCCTCGCAGCATTGAGGTCGGCCTCGTTTTCACCGGTACTTAATACCGGTCCAGCCTCATTCTGAGGCATCGAGCAACTGGGCGCTGAGAGAGCGTCAGTTCGTTTCGGTTCTACAGCAGGAGTGCCAACGCTATTCTTAGCGCAACATAGAGGAGCAGCAGCAGCAGCGAGCGAGGAGCCAGACAGAGAGCAGCCATAGCCGACTTCGGTTTCAGGCAGTTGCGGTAAACCAGGTACTCGAGGGTGAGGTCGTCTCCTCCCTCCACCGTCCCTGGTTCCTCTCCTCCTCACCTCTCTCCTCCTCTGTTTCTTCTTCTTCTTCTTCTTCTTCTTCAGACTTCTTCTTCTTCTTCAGACTACTTCTTCTTCTTCTTCAGATTGGAGACTTGATATTAGTTGGACATAGATCAGTGTTGGATTTCGATGGTAAAAGGGAGTTATACTTATCGGATTCGAGACTTGGAGATTGATGGGGTTGATACTCGGCGGCATCATAGATTGGACACCGGTTACATTAGGACTCTGTACCTCCGACATTGGTGACTTATTGTCCACGACATTTTGATCTTGTTCGATGATATTTTGGACTACCATATCGGTGACCTAATGAATTCTATCCCGGTGACATCTGGCGCTGCCTACATCTCCCACCTCCTTCGTCTCTTCTCCCACCTTTCATCTGTGTATGGTTGTACGGGGCGTAAGCATCATCTATGATTGGCTCAGACCCCACCATCTCACGATTGTTTGTGTGTGGAGTGATATCTGTGCGAGTCAGTCTATGTGAGTCAATCCATTTATCAGACTTCCGCTGCATACATGCTCATCCTATATCGGTTGATCTCTTGGTTCTGCCGATACTTGTTGAAGTACTCACAAGTATGCAACAGTTTTGGTATCGAAGCAGACCAAATAACGGATCTGCTCACAAGATAAGTCTGATTTAGGAATAGATTGCTTCTTCGATCTTCCAAATCAGCTCTGCATTACTATCGAGATTCAAAGTTGCAATTTTTTTTTTCTTTTTCGGTATTCTGTTTAATTCGGCATTCCGTTTCGATTCGGTATTCTGACTTTCAATTCGGGATTCTGTTTTATTCAGTTTCCGATTAATTGGTATTCTGGTTAATCCGATATTCTGTTTAATTCGGTATTCTAATTCTAATTCGTTATTCTGTTTAAACTTTAAATCAGTATTCTGTTTTAATTCGGCATTCTGATTTCAAAATTCGGTTTTCCGTTCTTAATTCGGCGTTCTATTTTTAATCTCGCATTTCGGTTTTTAAATCGGTATTCCCATTTTATTTCGGTATTGGAAATTAGGGTTACGAAAAATTTCGGTTTTTCGATCAACTTGGAAAATTCGAACGTTTTGGAACCGTAAAACCGGAAATTTTGCGGACTTGCGGAAAACTAAGGTTGGGATCCGAAATTTTCGCGAATTTTTTTTTCTTTCCCTAGTTTGAGAAATTCCGAATACGGACGCAGGCCGCTAAAAATCGGATTTTGTAGGTTGAAATTCCCGAAATTTTACGTTTTTCAAAAAATTCGAGTGTTTTTCTTCCTAGTTATCCGGAAAAAAAAATTTGGCAACACAATTCGGAATCGTTCCCTCATAATTGCAACTTCCGGGTAGTTCACTAATCAACGGTGAACTCCCGGACCATAGATGATCTCAATGGATACCTAATCTTTCCACAACTTAAATTTATTAATTATCATTATTGCAATTATTGTTTTATTGATTATTATTAAGAAGTATTAATTCGTTATTAATCATTAATTAAACTTTATTGATTATTAATTCGTTATTATTTTCTTATTACGAATTTTTTAGTTGTTTTCGGGGAAAGTGTATCTTTTTCTGTTTGATTAGGTGTTTAAGTCCATCATTGGGACAGGGACTGTATGCGAATTGCTTGATCTGTTCTACCCCTGTACCCACCCTCTCCCTCTCACTGTTCTGTGACCATTCGGACGAGCCAGCCTTCAGCAACAGTTTTCTGATGCCAGCAGGGCAAGCCATCGAACAGCAGCCACGACGCAGCAAGAGGATCGCAGATCGTCAACAGCGACAGCAACCTGCAGTTCGACAGCAGCCACAGACCAGCACTCAGATGGCGATCACGCCGAACAACGGAACATCATCCGAGACTTCGACATCTAGCGATGTCGAACCATTGTCGATCTGTCCTGCTCAAGGGCCGAATGAGTCAATCACGGACTACATTCAGAGAGTGAAGACCGACACGGACGCACTCACCCTTGCCAAGGAACGGCAAGATGCTGCCGAAGCAGAAAAACAGCGGCTGGCAGCAGAAGCTATAGCCCAAGCCCAGCGACAAGCTGAGGCGGAGCAGTTGGCGGTCGACAAGCTCAACGCCGACAGTGCCGACCTATTGATCTCTCAACACGATCAGTGGGCAGCTGTGCTCAACGGGATGTGTTATGTCCCCGTAGCAGGCGCCGAGCCAACGGCAGTACAGCAGGAGAGACAAAACCTGGCAGACATTTTACTATGCACGATGCATGCAGTTATATGGAACAACACCATGGGGGACCTTCATTCCAGGTCTACACGGCAGCTGCAGCATGATCTTAGCCATAACGTGAAGACACTTGCAGCAGCCGTCAAGGTCGCGGACTCCCAGCTGCAACAGATGGACAGCCGCATTGCTGCTCTGGAGGCAAGACCCTCCCAAGCAGCGCCAGGCTGCACGACAGACACGGCGAAACAGCTCAACGAGCGCATCGACCATGTCGTCAATCTAATCGGCGAACTAGGTGATTCCACTAGTCCGGCCACGATCAGCAGCACAGTGGCCGCCATCAAGACGATCATCACCAAACTGCAGATAAGACCGGACACCGCTAAAAAGAACTACAAGATGCCGCACTTCAACATCAGCAAGTTTGACGACTACAACAAGACAGACACCTTGACATGGTGGCAAGGTTTCCTCACGGAAGCATCCTGCCGCACTGTCCCGACTGAAGACATGATGAAGGCGCTCTACCTCCAACTGATTGGAGGAGCACAGGCATGGATGAACCATCTTGCGGCCACCAAGAAATGCACCATCGCCGAACTCCACACGCACATTCCGTGGAAGGAGTTCGAGCAACTATGGTTCACTCGATTCATGGTCCGCAACATCGTGAAGGCCGCCATGAACGAGGTGTATACCAGCTCACAAGGAAGCATGCCAACTCGAGACTGGACGATCAAGTGGCAGAAGATAGTGACCACGCCAGGCTTCGATTTGAGTTTTCCAAACCAACGATCCGAGTTCTTCTCGCGATCGTGCGCAGGACTGCGAACGACACTCGACAACGAGTACGATTATGCCTCATTCCAGGCTATTCTGGATCGTGCGAACCCGATCATCCAAACGGATGACAAGGCCGCTAACGAACGACAGTCCCAGCCGCACTATGTGGCTAAGCAGGGCTATCAACGACCGACACATAACAATGTCGTGATTTCTGAAGAATCAGTCGATCTCCACGCTGCAGCAGCATCCTCGAGTGATGGAGGAACTATCGCAGCGCTCCCGCCAAAGCGTCCCAAGAGAGTTCGGAAGAACAAGGCGACACAAGCGACGACATCGACAGGAACTGGGCAGCAACCATGGATGGCGTTCAACATAACCAAGGAAGTATTTGATCTTCGTGAACGGTACGGATATTGCCTTTGGTGCAATGGTGTCACTCACTTGACCGCACAATGCCCCGAAAAGGGCAAGGCACCTGTACCCCGTCCAGCGAACTGGGGAAACTGAGTTGCGCAAGGAGAGAGACGACGTCTCTCCTCACTCCGCCGGAACCGGTTGCCTTGCTAGCAATCGATATCACTACCGGGGAGCATGCGTTAGTCGCTGATTCTCGTGCTACGTACGAGGATTATGCCGCCCAGCTGGTACCACCATTAGACCAGCCTAGCCACGTGCACTTAGATTGCGTATACGCAGCCTGTACACCGTCGGCAAGTGATCCGGTCAGCTCGCCACTGATTTCCGAGGACTCGACGGCGTGGTCAAGACTTGAGGAGCTTGACCCGCTTACGAGAGAGGACTTCGCTTGGATGCCTCTACCCTCAACAAGAACCTTGCCAAGGCCGCATTGCAATGCCTTGATGGCAAATCTATGCTCCTATTTGCACGCTACAGTACCAGCTCCGTTGACGGACGACGGGGTAGCGGTTGTCGATCTCCGCTCCTATCTTGCGAAGATTGACCGCGAGTACGCCACCCAAAGGTACGCCGAAACCGACGCTCCTTTGCTCTACATCCGCATTCAAATCGGAAAGGCAACCTGTAGTGCCTTGATTGATTGCGGAGCGTCTCGCAACTTTATGAGCCAAGCCTTTATGGCCCGTGCAGGCCTTGGCCCGCGCGTTTGAAGGAAAACGCAACCTACGCAAGTTACACTCGCGGACGGCCGCACGCAAAAGTCAATTGACCGATGCGTCGACGACGTTCCAGTATACTTTGCGCCACTTGCGTGCGAGTCGATGTCTTTTGACATCCTCGACACCAAGTTCGACATGATTCTAGGCATGTCTTGGTTGCGTAGTGTCGATCATCTGGTGAACTTTCATGACCGGACCGTTCACATCCGTGATCGGAACGGAGTGTTAGTCCCAGGTACGGTCGCGACCCCTCACACTTCGATTGCTTGTCACGTGGTTTCCGTTGCGAGAATTCGCGACGCCATAGCTCAGAATGACGTCGAGGAGATGGGCCTTGTATTCTTGCATGCTCTCCCCTCGCCGGACGGACCAGCCGCGTCACCGCCGGACCCACGCATTTCTCACCTCTTGGACGAGTATGGAGATGTCTTTGAGGCTCCCACCGGAACGGTTCCGGATCGGCCCATACGTCACGGGATCACTCTCGAGACTGGCGCCGTCCCTCCGCGTGGATGCATTTACCGCATGAGCGAAGAGGAACTCGAGGTGCTTCGCGCACAACTCAATGACCTTCTCGACAAGGGCTGGATTCGCCCTAGTTGCTCGCCATACGGTGCCCCTGTTCTCTTCGTCCGGAAGAAGAACAAAGATCTACGGTTATGCATCGATTATAGAAAACTTAACGCAGAAACCGTAAAAAATGCCGGCCCTCTCCCTCGGATTGATGATCTCCTTGAGCGGTTAGGCGGCGCGACGTACTTCTCGAAGTTGGACTTGAAGTCGGGTTACCACCAGATTGAAATCCAGCCTCAAGATCAGTACAAAAACGCGTTCAAGACGCGGTACGGGCACTTTGAGTGGGTGGTCATGCCATTTGGCCTCACCAATGCCCCCGCGACTTTCCAAGCAGCTATGACGATTGAGTTTCGCGACTTGCTCGATCGCAGCATCCTCATCTACCTCGATGACATGTTGGTTTATAGTAGGACGTTGGACGAGCACATCGTACACCTTCGCGCTGTTTTGGATCGTTTGCGACTGGCCAAGTACAAAGCGAATCTCGACAAGTGCCAGTTCGCCAAGCAGGAGCTTGAGTACTTGGGTCACTATGTCACGCCGAAAGGCATTCGTCCCTTAGTGGACAAGATCCAAGCCATCGAGGATTGGCCGGAACCTCGTTGCACGACAGATGTACGCTCTTTCATGGGTTTGGCTGGATATTATCAGAGATTCATCGAGTCATACTCGAAAGTGGCCGCTCCTTTGTCGAGACTTCAGTCCCCAAAGGTGCCTTTCGAGTTGGACGACGCAGCCCGTGGCACGTTCACTACGTTGAAGGTAGCAATGCAAGCCGCACCTGCCCTCCGTATATACGACCCCACCCTTCCCACCCAAGTGACTACGGTATTGGTGCGGTGTTGGAACAGTGTCACGAGGACGGTTGGCATCCAGTCGAGTATTTCTCCCAAAAGGTGCCTCTTGCAATACTCTCAACGACGCTAGAAAGAAAGAGCTACTCGCATTCGTCACCGTTCTCAAATGGTGGCGCCACTTTCTTCTCGGTCGTCGGCGTTTTAAATGGAATACAGACAACAATCCATTGACCTTTTATAAAATGCAGGATACGGTCACTAGTACGATCGGTCGATGGATGTATTACATCGACCAGTTCGACTTTGACCCGTGCCACATTCCCGATCCCGCCAATCGAGCTGCGGACGCCCTCTCACGATGGCCCGATTTTTGTCCCATTGTGACCACGGCATTCGACCTCGATGACGATCTGCAGCCGCATTTCGTCAAAGGCTACAAGTCCGATCCGACTTACTCTACGCTTTACGCAGAGCTTTCATCGGATCACCCGCCGGCTAGCCATTATCGGATTTCCGACGGGTTCCTTCTCCTTCACACGAGAGGAAAGGACTTGTTAGTTGTGCCCCAAGATCGCATCTTACGGACTCGTCTTCTCGGCGAATTCCACGATGCACGACTTTCGGCACACCTTGGCGTAAACCGCACATTAACACGCCTCCGCGAGCGTTTTCCCTGGCCCGACGTCCTTCACGACGTCACGAGGTACATTGAGTCATGTGCAGTTTGCCACCGTAACAAGGGTCGATCTCGAGTCCCCTTCGGCGAGCTGAAACCGTTGCCGATTCCTAGGGCACCGCGCCTCTCCATTGCTATGGACGTGATAGGCCCGTTCCCCCGCGATCGCCTCGACCATGACGGTATTCTCACGGTCGTTGACCGTTTGAGCAAATATGCTCGCTTTCTTCCTTGCAAGTATCATGTTGCAGCGCCTGAGCTCGCACGACTCTTGCACACCGGTTGGATTACCAACCAGGGTGTTCCGGAAGACATAGTGAGCGACCGAGATACTCGCTTCATGTCGGCCTTTTGGACTTCCCTTATGGCTGAGTCCGGTACGACAATGAAGCCGAGCTTGGCTCGGCACCCGCAGACGGATGGCCAGACGGAGCGAGCACACCAGACCGCTCAGATGATGTTGCGTACGCTCATCCGTCCTAACCAGAAAGATTGGGTTGACCGTCTTCCCGACATCGAGCTCGCCTATAACACTTCGGTGCACCTGGCGATCTGCGTCACACCATTCGAGTTACATCCTGGTGGAGAGAAAGCACGGATCTTCGCTGATCTCCTTCTACCACGGGCTGCCGACATAGACGTCCCTTGCTCTCCCGCCTCCGTTCGGAAGTACCGGGACTTGCTGATCAAAGCCCGCGCAAATATGCAAAAGGCCCAAATCCGCATGCAGCAGCAAGTTAACCGACGTCGACTTCCATGTCTTTTCTGCGAGGGAAACCTGTTTTGGGTCCTCTCCGAAGAATTTGCGCTCGAGCAGGACATTTCGCGCAAACTCCTTCCGAAATGGTTCGGACCATGGGAAGTTACTTTTGCCGTTGGAGACGACCCCGCAAGTCCTTCCTTTGTGGTCAACATTCCACCGCACCTTCCAGTGCACCGGGTCTTCCACGCGTCGAAGCTGGCCATCTACACGCCACCTTCCGCTGACGAGTTTCCTGGCCGACGATCACAGGATCCGCCTTCTATGGATGGACATCAGGAAGTCGACCGAGTCATCACGCACCGCAAGTATGGCAACAAGCCAATGCAGTTCAAAGTCACATTCAAGCAATGTGCGCCTCACGACACTCGGTGGATCTCTAGTGCAGACTTGCAGACTTCTGCACCCCTTATCTTCGCCGACTATGAGAAGCGACGCCTTGCCGGACAGACAACTCCGCCCTCGCAGGTAGCTCGGTCTTTTAAGAGGGGGAGTGTGTTACATCTTCGATGCCACATGGGTCCTACCGGACCCTACTTAGGGCCAAGGGGACACAGTAGGGCCTAAAGGCCCAGACTTGGGGGTATAACAGGCCGAAAGGCCGCATTTTGGACCAGACCCGATGGGCAGGCCCAAACGACATTACCGTTTGGGCTTGGTGGCGCTCTTGAGGCTGCCGCCCGCCGGTCTGATCTGAACCGATGATCTCGACGGTTCAGGTCACGGCCAGGCCTCGCAGCATTGAGGCCGGCCTCGTTTTCACCGGTACTTAATACCGGTCCAGCCTCATTCTGAGGCATCGAGCAACTGGACGCTGAGAGAGAGCCAGTTCGTTTCGGTTGTACAGCAGGAGCGCCAGCGCTATTCTTAGCACAGCATAGAGGAGCAGCAGCAGCGCAGCAGCGAGCGAGGAGCCAGACAACGAGCAACCATAGCCGACTTCGGCTTCAGGCAGTTGTGGTAAACCAGGTACTCGGGCGTGCGGTCGTCTCCTCTCTCTACCGTCCCTGGTTCCTCTCCTCCTCACCTCTCTCCTCCTCTGTTTCTTCTTCTTCTTCTTCTTCTTTAGACTTCTTCTTCTTCTTCAGACTACTTCTTCTCCGTCTTCAGATTGGAGACTTGATACTAGTTGGACAAAGATCAGTGTTGGATTTCGGTGGTAGGAGGCTGTGATACTTACCGGATTCGAGACTTGGACTTTGTACCTCCGACATTGGTGACTTATTGTCCACGACATTTTGATCTTGTTTGATGACATTTTGGACTACCATATCGGTGACCTACTGGATTCTATCCCGGTGACATCAGGCGCTACCTACATCTCCCACCTCCTTCGTCTCTTCTCCCACCTTTCATCTGTGTATGGTTGTACGGGGCCTGAGCATCATCTATGATTGGCTCAGACCCCACCATCTCACGATTGTTTGTGTGTGGAGTGATATCTGTGTGAGTCAGTCTATGTGAGTCAGTCCATTTATCAGATTTCCGATGCATACATGCTCATCCTATATTGGTTGATCTCTTGGTTCTGCCCATACTTGTTGAAGTACTCATAAGTATGCAACAATGGGACTACGAGTAGTGAAAGCACAAACATATGGGAAGTTGAACAGCCAAGTGCGAACCGGAACACTACCAAGAGCATGATCTTGGCAAGATGAGAGTACGAGTAGTGAAAGCATGAACACATGAGAAGTTGAACAGCCAAGTGAGAACCGGAACACTACCAAGAGTATGAACTTGACAAGATGAGAGTGAAAGCACAAGCACATGGGAAGTTGACCAGCTAAGTGAGACCCGGAACACTACCAAAAGCATGAACTTGACAAGTGAGAGTGAAAGCACAAGCATATGGGAAGTTGAACAGCCAAGTGAGAACCGGAACACTACCAAGAGCATGAACTTTGACAAGTGAGAATGAGTAGTGAAAGCACAAGCACATGAAAAGTTTGAACAACCAAGTAAGAACTGGACACTACCAAGAGCATGAACTTGACAAGATGAGAGTGAGAGTAGCGAAAGCACAAACATATGAGAAGTTGAGCAGCCAACTGAGAACCGGAACATTACTAAGCATGAACTTGACAAGTAAGAGTGAAGGTACAAGCACATGGGAAGTTGAACAACCAAGGAGAACCGGAACACTACCAAGAGCATGAACTTGACCAGATTAGAGTGAGAGTAGAGAAAGCACATACACGTGAGAAGTTGAACAGCAAATGAGAACCGGAACACTACCAAGAGCATGAACTTGACAGGATGAGAGTGAGAGTAGTGAAAGCACATACACATGAGAAGTTGAACAACCAAGTGAAATCCGAAACACTACCAAGAGCATGAACTTGACCAGATGAGAGTGACAGTTAGTGAAAACACATGCACATGAGTGGAAGAACAACCAAGTGTGAATCGGAATACTACCAAAGGCATGAACTTGACAAAGTGAGGGTTGAACTAGTGAAAGCAAATACACATGAGTGGAAGAACAACCAAGTGCGAATCGGAAAACTACCAAAGGCATGAACTTGACAAAGTGAGGGTTCAACTAGTGAAAGCACATGCATATGAGTGGAAGAACAACCAAGTGTGAATCGGAATACTACCAAAGGCATGGACTTGACAAAGTGAAGGTTGAACTAATGAAAGCACATGCACATGAGTGGAAGAACAACCAAGTGTGAAATGGAACACTACCAAGGGCATGAACTTGACAAAGTGAAGGTTGAACTAATGAAAGCATATGTACATGAGTGGAAGAACAACCAAGTGTGAATCGGAATACTACCAAAGGCATGAACTTGACAGAGCGAGGGTTGAACTAGTGAAAGCACATGCACATGAGTGGAAGAACAACCAAGTGTGAATCGGAATACTACCAAAGGCATGAACTTGACAAAGTGAAGGTTGAACTAATGAAAGCACATGCACATGAGTGGAAGAACAACCAAGTGTGAATCAGAATACTACCAAAGGCATGAACTTGACAAGGTGAGAGTTGAATTAGTGAAAGCACATGCTTATGAGTGGAAGAACAACCAAGTGTGAATCGGAATACTACCCAAGGCATGAACTTGACAAAGCGAAGGTTGAACTAATGAAAGCACATGCGCATGAGTGGAAGAACAACCAAGTGTGAGACGGAACACTACCAAGGGCATGAACTTGACAAAGCGAGGGTTGAACTAGTGAAAGCACATGCACATGAGTGGAAGAACAACCAAGTGTGAATCGGAATAATACCAAAGGCATGAACTTGACAACGTGAAGGTTGAACTAATGAAAGCACATGCACATGAGTGGAAGAACAACCAAATGTGAAACGGAACACCACCAAGGGCATGAACTTGACAAAGTGANGAAACGGAACACCACCAAGGGCATGAACTTGACAAAGTGAAGGTTGAACTAATGAAAGCACATGCACATGAGTGGAAGAACAACCAAATGTGAAATGGAACACCACCAAGGGCATGAACTTGACAAGGTGAAGGCTGAACTAATGAAAGCACATGCACATGAGTGGAAGAACAACCAAGTGTGAATCGGAATGTCATCATGTGAGAACTGAGCCATGCTAGTGGGAGTTGCTCAAACACATGTTTATGGCTCATGAATACAACCAAGCATGAAACGAAATGTCATCATGTAAGAGTTGAGCCATGCATGTGAGTGAGACTTGCTCAAACACATGCTTGTGGCTCATGAATGCAACCAAGCATGAAACGAAAGGTAATCATGTGAGACTTGAGCCATGCATGTGAGTGAGACTTGCTCAAACATATGTTTGTGGCTCATGAATGCAACCAAGCATGAAACGGAATGTCCTCATGTGAGAGTTAAGTCATGCATGTGAGTGAGACTTGCTCAAACACATGCTTGTGGCTCATGAATGCAACCAAGCATGAAACGGAAGGCCATCATGTGAGAATTGAGCAAGGTGGGTGAAAGGAACCATTCAAACACTAGAACAAGCATGAACCAAAGTAGCGATTTGCTCCTAAGTGAATAAGTGGAGGAAAGGGAGAGAAAAGTGAGTCTAACTCACCCAAATGCATGAATTCACAAGGGGAGACGTGACAATTTACATGGGAGTGAAGAAAATGACAAAACAAGGGTTAATCATCATCTAAACACTAGAATAAGCAAGGACAAAAGTTGCGATTTGCACCTAAGTGAAAAATTGGAAAGAAAGTGAGAGAAAAGTGAGTAGAACTCAGTCAAATGCATGAAATCACAACGGGAGAAGTAGCGCTTCACATGGGAGTGAAGAAATGGACAAAACAAGAATTAATCACCAGCTAAACACCAGAACAAGCAAGGACAAAGTTGTGATTTGCACCTAGTGAAGAAGTAGAGAGAAAGTGAGAGAAAAGTGAGTAGAACTCACTCAAATGTATGAAATCACTAGGGGAGAAATAGCGCTTCACATGAGAGTGAAGAATTGGACAAAACAAGAGTTAATTATCATCTAAACACTAGAATAAGCAAGGACAAAAATTGCGATTTGCACCTAAGTGAAGAAGTGGAGAGAAAATGAGGGAAAAGTGAGTAGAACTCAAATGCATGAAAACACAAGAGGAGAAGTGGCGGTTCACATGGTAGTGAAAAATTTGACAAAACAAGAGCTAATCATCATCTAAACACTAGAATAAGCAAGGACAAAAATTGCGATTTGCACCTAAGTGAAGAAGTGGAGAGGAAGTGAGAGAAAAGTGAGTAGAACTCACTCAAATGCATGAAATCACTAGGGGAGAAGTGGCGGTTCACATGGTAGTGAATAACGAGCCCATGGAGAGATCATTGCTAGTAAGAAGGCTTCCTACCATCTACTCTAAGCTTAGGAAAGTTCCTATGGAGAGAGGGAGAGAAAAAGAAAGTGGGGAGGGGAAAGAGAGAAAGATGAAGGAGAAAAAGGAGAAAAAGATAAAGAAGAGGAGGGGAGGAAAAAAATAAGGAAGGAAGAAGAAGAAGAAGAAGAAGGAGAAGAAGAAGAAGAAGAAGAAGAGAAAGGAGAAAAAAAAGAAGAAGAGGAAGAAGAAGAAGAAGAAGAAGAAGAAGAAGGATCTCCTCCTTTCCACTCACCTCCCTGATGTCTTGGGATGGAGCACCAACTTGATGAAGTCTCTTCCTTCCTTGCCCAAGAATCACCTTGGCTATGACTCTCTTCTTCCCTAAGCCCTTCTCTTCCTCTTTTATCAACCTCTCCTAAGTTGTGGCAAACTCCCTCCACTATGGCTATGGATTCCTCCCCTCTAGGAGGGCTAATGGGACTCCCTCTAGCCTCTCTCTCTTCCTCACAGCCTGGGGGCTATAGCGGATCACCTCCCTAAACCAGCCTCACTACCACTAGCCTCTGAAGCTCTTTCCCAAGCTCACAGTCTCCTCTAAACTCCCAAATTGGCATGGGTTCCCCTCTCCTCTCTCCAAGTGAGAAGGTGCTCCTATGAGCTCACTTGGCAGCATGGGCACTCCTCATGCAAATGTGAGCGTGGCGGACTGAATTCTTCGCTTATGTAGGCTGAGAACAGCACTCCGGCCAGCCCATGGGCCTCCCCATGTGCCTTGAGGTGAACCGAGGTACCCCCAAGGCAAAATTTCACCACTAGACCCTTC